TTACAGCCTTGAGTCTTCTTGGGTATGAATCTACAAGCTTGGCACACCTGTATTTGGGGAGTTTCTCCCATTCTTCTCTGCAAATCCTCTACAGCTATTTTCAGGTCTCTCCGGAGATGTTCAATCGATTTCAAGGATCTCTCTGTACTTTGCTCCATTCAGCTTTCCCTCGATCCTGACTAGTCTCCCAGTCCCAGCCGCTGAAAAATATCCTCACAGCATGATGCTGCCACCACCATGCTTCACCGTAGGGATGGTGCCAGGTTTCCTCCAGACGTGACTCCTGGCAATCAGGCCAATGAGTTCAATCTTGGCTTCATCAGGCCAGAGAATCTTGTTTCTCATGGTCTGAGAGTCCTTTAGGTGTCTTTTGGCAAACTCCAAGCGGGCTGTCATGTGCCTTTTACTGAGGAGTGGCTTCCGTCTGGCCATTCTACCATAAAGGCTGAATGGTGGAGTGCTGCAGAGATGGTTGTCCTTCTGGAAGGTTCTCCCAGGAACTCCGGTGCTCTGTCAGAGTGACCATCCTTGACCAAGGCCCTTCTCCCCTGATTGCTCAGTTTGGCCGGGCGGCCAGCTCTAGGAAGAGTCTTGGTGGTTACAAACTTCTTCCATTTAATAATAATGGAGGCTACTGTGTTCTTGGGGACCTTCAATGCTGCAGAATTTCTTTGGTACCCTTCCCCAGATCTGTACCTCGACACAATCCTGTTTCGGAGCTCTACGCACAATTCCTTCGACCTCATGGCTTGGTTTTTGCTCTGACATGCACTGTCAACTGTGGGACCTTGTGTGTGCCTTTCCAAATTATGTCCAATCAATTGAATTTACCACAGGTGGACTCCAATTAAGTTGTAGAAACATCTCAAGGATGTCCAATGGAAACAGGATGTACCTGAGCTCAATTTCGAGTTTCATAACAAATAGTCTGAATACTTATGTCAATAAGGTATTTCTGTTTTTTATTTGTAATTAATTTGCAACAATTTCTAAAAACCTGTTTTCGCTTTGTCATTATCGGGTAATGTGTGGAGATTGATGAGGAAAAAAAGCCATTTAATCAATTTTAGAATAAGGCTGTAATGTAACAAAATGTGGAAAGAGTCAAGGGGTCTGAATACTTTCCGAATGCACTGTATAATCATATAAACAGTTAACAATTATAGATATAGTTCCCAATCAGAACTCAGAAGGTTAAGTCTCTATACTTCAAACAAACAACAAGAGCTATTTTACAATATATATTCTGGGGTCCGGAATGATTGAATCCCTTGATAAAGATGCACAAAAAAGACTGTATAAAATAAACAGTACAAATACTGAGCTATAGTGTATGCTCAAATAAAAAAAATATATCTAAAAGAAAGGGGTCAAAATTATTGGAGCCCCTGTTTTCAATACTCCAGCACCCTCCCCTTGCAAGGATAATGACACTGAGCCTTTTTCTAAAATGTTTTATAAGATTGGTGAACACATTGGGAGGGACCTTAGACAATTCCTCCATACAGAATCTTTCCAGATCCTTGATATCCTTCGTCTGTGCTTATGGACTGCCCTCTTCAATTCAAACCACAGGTTTTCAATGGGGTTCTCAAGTCCAGAGACTGAGATGGCCATTGCAAAATGTTAATTTTGTGGCCAATTAATCATTTCTTCGTGGACTTTGATGTGTACTTGGGGTTATTGTCTTGCTGGATGATCCACTTGCAACCAGATTTTTGGCTAAAATGTCCTGGTACTTGGTAAAGTTCTGATGCCGTTGACCTTAACAAGGGCCACAGGACCAGTGGAAGCAAAATAGCCCGATAACATCAAAGATCCATCACTATATTTTACAGTAGGGTCAAAGTATTTTCTGCATATGCATTGTTCTTTCGAAGGCCAAACCCACCATTGGTGTGTGTGGCCAAAGAGCTCTATTTTCATGTCATCTGACCATATGGTCATATGACACGAAAATAGAGATCTTTGGCCACCCACACCAGCAGTGTGTTTGGCATTCGAAAGAACAATGCATATGCAGAAAATACCTCATCGCTAAAAACAAAATTGGAGCATACTTTATTAAAGCATACTTTATGAGCATACTTTATTAAAGGAACTCATCTTTATTAAAATATCCAATAATTCCGGACCCCACTGTAGATCATTTGTAATTCATAAACAAATCTCATTGTACTTTTATGGCAAATCTCTGACATATGTCAAAATACATCTTACTTTCTGTACATAAATTAAGAAATGTAACAGGCCACTTTTTTATGTTTGAGGATAAGCAGTTTTCTGTCAAATCTTTACAGTCAAAACGAATTATACAAAACACTTGAGCAACTACAAAACTTTAGAAGTGCAACATTGTAAACGTAAATTGGACTTTTATTCACGTTATCTTTTGTGTATTTGTTGTTTACGAAGTCCATTTCTAAATTTCTACTTTCAGATATTCATTTTTTTAAATACAAACAGCAGCTAAGTAACAATGTCAGTTTACAAAAACAAAAAGAGCACTTAAATCATTGCATAATCTATTAGCTGAATACTTCATTTTTTAAATCAAATAAAATGGTAACAAAAAGTTAAGATAATAATAATAAGAAGATTTTATACGATATAATTTTCTCAGGGATGATGATCTGAAAACTGGAACTGACATAGTGTGTCCATCACAAATGGCACCATATTCCCTATGTAGTGTACTACCTTTGACCAGAACCCCATGTGCACTATATAGGGAATACAGTACCATTTGGGATGCAAACAGTCTGTCACGATAGGGTCTCTGTAGGTACTGCATACCCTATCTTAAATGTTTCATTAATTTCAAATAATCTACATATTAATTTCTTATTATTTACAGTGAGGTCACATGCTGAAAGCAGGTAAGGGCTATTGTTTTGCGGGGAAAAAATGGAATCAACAAAAAGTGAAAGAATAAATATATTATATAACATATAGCTGGTAAGGTTTGTGAACAGTCCATTCTAACATCAATAACATGTCCCCCCCCCCCCCATATCAAGAAAAAAATTATGGATCATATTTTACATACCCAATCCCCATGCACTGTGACAGAACGGTGTGAGGTAAAAGAAGTCGAGGTATGAGTGTGTGAGTGTGCATTAACTCATCTTAAATTGCATTAATTAAACATATTTAGTAAACAGCCAAATGGCACCCTATAGGTGCAGACTCTACAAGGTTACTCCAGCACTACACATATTCTCACAGGTCACTCAGGGAATTATTATAAACTACAATGAAAAGTCCAGTAACAAATAACATCTAAAGCCTTGACTTTCCCAAACTTACTTACATACTGAATTAATAGTTACAGAATAGTAACAACCAAATTAAGCAAAAAATCAGAGACTATAAAAGGTGCAGTGAATCAGCACACTGACTCTAAAACATCCGTTTAGTTAGGTTACACGATTTGGTGTGTGACAAACAGAGAGGGAGAGAGGGAGGGTTGCTAGGGAGGAAAATAGCTCAAATCCCGTGTTCTGCTGTTGAGCACTGTTATGTGAGTTAAACTAGAGTCCATTATCAGCCTCTCAAATGATCACAGCCCTCCTAATGCATACAGCGCCCTCACACCCACAGAGAGAGAGAGAAGGAGGGAGGGAGAAAGAGAGGGATCGGGAGTAATAAGGCACAAAGAGAGGTGGGTTAATAAAGGGTAGGAGAGTGGGAGGGAAATGGTGGGAGTGGGAGAGAGAAAAATGAGTTGAGGGGATGCGAGCTGAATGAAGGCCGGGGAGAGTGTGATTGTCACAATCAGATACGTGATGGTTACAGAAAACAATTAGGAATTGTAACTCGTAAGTGACTTGAAGAGCAAGAGAAGGGAAGAGCGATGAACAGCTGAGGTAAGAATAGCCTGAGATGTTAGATAAGTAACCACTTGCTGCACTTCTCTGATTTGTCCTATCACTGAAATACATATATCTATTATCACTGAACTAGTCTGATTTGTCCTATCACTGAATCACTGTGATTACGGCTATCCCTATGCTGGACTGGTTCCTGGGTAGATGTTTCACATAGTATATTGGTAATTTGAAAGGCAATGAAAGGCAATGAAAAAGGCATTTTAAATGCACACAGAGAAAGTTTCTGGTTTTAAGGAAATATGATAAAATGTAAGAATATTCCTTATCACAAATATACACACAGTATACATCATATATGTTTGAAGTATTGTAGCATATTTACATCCATAATATTTTATTCATACATAATATGCCAAATGCTTTTTGAAAAGCACCTTGAAGGGTGGGACTGACCCCACTTGAATGTAGAATAGAACAGACTCCATTCCAGTTCTTTTTGAAGAGCTAAAACTAGCCCTGATTTTGTGTGATTTTGACTCTGAACATAAAAAAAGAAATACACTTGCAAAAACATAATCTGAGATCCCCCAAAATAAAATAACATAATAAACACCAAATATATTTCACAAGAAAACATTGCTTTTTGTAAATGAGGCTCCAGCTTCTTCCAGGTTCTGTTGAAGTGAATGATATTGTGCCGAGTCGAGTGCTGCTGTATTTACAAAGCCAACTTCAGACGAGACGTTCCCTCCAAACAAGCACAGTCTCAGCCAGCCCCTATTCACTCCCTACCCCTTCCCCTTGGCCGTTACCCTTCGATCTTCGCAAATCTATTATTTCTTCCACCTTACAGATCTGCAATAGATTGTGAGAGAATTGGGACGGGCTGATGATAGTCCTGTGGAGAGGGGCAATGGTTTCTTTAGACCTTTCCATCCAGTGCTGAAGGGTGAAAGGCCAGTGGTGAATGGTGAAAAATCTGAAAAACCACACATGTAAAACCATTAATAACTGCATAATACATGGGTTTTAGGACTTCAAAACATTTACCACACATGGTTTGAGACACTCACCCACAGAATACTATATTATATTTACACTGTCAAATTATATTATATCTCTATACACTCACCTGGCTGCTCTGAGTCTGAGAGGTGTGTGTGTGTCCTAGCCAGACACCCAGCTATGTGTGGTGGTCTTCACCCCGACCCCCTGGCTGAACCCCTGAGAGGTCACCATGGGGTCAAAGTTGAAGTCCAGCGAGTCTCCATCCATCAGCGTATCATGAAGAACAGACTCCATGTCACACTCAAACCTCTCGATGGACATGTCGTCTAGATCACTAGGCAGCCTCTCCTGATGATGGTGGTGATTTTGGTGGTGATGGTGGGCCTGAGGATGACCATAGCTGTGGCTGTGGCCTGGACCTGGCCTCACATAACCATTAGCACTGCTGCTGTAGCTGGGTGGAGGAGCTTCGCTGTGGTGGGGACTGTGGTTTTGGTGGCCTGAGGCTGGGTGACCACCACCACCATGTGGCTGCTGCTGTAGCTGGTGGATGTGTGTCCTGAGGCTGGCAAGACGGGCTGGGCCCCCAGCGTGGTTCAGGCTGGTCAGGGGAATCAGGCCACAGCTGTTCATGGAGGGCCCAGAGGGGGGAGGGCCCTGGCTGTGGAGGGGCCGCGGGTGAGGGTGAGGATGAGACTGAGGGTGTTGTGGGTGTTGCTGAGTTGGGGGACTCATCATCTTTACCCCCCCATGCCCCCCTAAATGTCCTACCTGTCCCTGGCTGCTGTAGTTGGGAAGCATCCGCCCTCCTCCTCCTCTCCCAGACTGGGACACTACAGTCTCCATGGAGGGCATGGCCTCCCCACCACAACGAGGGTCGGCTACGTCAGAGGTCAACAGCTCCTTGAGTAGCCCAGCAGGGCAGTTGTAATGGCTCAGGAAGGGTGCGAAGGACCCTGGCGGCTTGCTCTCTGGCAGCGTCTGCATGGGGATGGGGGAGAGATGCGGGCTGTTCATCCCTGGCCCGGCCTGGCCGTAGAGGCACTTCCTGTAGTCCTGCTGTTGGGGCTGGGGGTGAGGGGTCATGGAGGGGGAGCTATAGGGGCTGTTCTGAAGCTTGGAGGAGGGGGAGGACCGGGAGGAGTCGGGCCCAGACCCAGGACCAACGCCTACCCCCAGCTGGGCTTGATTCTTGGGGGACAGCAGGTTGAGGTTGTCAAGGAGGCTATCCATGACGTTCTCTGTTCCATGGTGACTGTGGTGATGACCACCCATGGAGCTGGCCAGGCCCACCTCTGATAGGCTAGGCAGCGTGGCCATGGAGGTCATCTTAGGCCCCACCCCTCCGGGGTAGCCCATGTGGACGTCGGCCTCTGATAGGTCGACATCCTGTTCCAGGAAGGGAGAGCGACGGCCAGAGAGGGTGGAGGCGTCGGAGCTGGTGCGCGTCCGGAAGGTAGTCCAGGCCTCGAAGTCGTCGTTGCTGTGGCTATGGGAGTTGGGGCTGCCTAGCCACTTGGAGTACTGGAAGCCTCCCGGGCTGTCTGCACCCCCATCCACCTGGAGAGCCACCTGGCGAGAGGAGAAGGACAGAGGTGAGCTCAGTTAGACAAAGGTACACAAGTGGACAGGTCCCTGACACAAGGCTAAAAGAAGAACTCTGCACATTAGGTCAAAGTAGAGAATGCCTTATTTTCAGTACTCTCAGATTAACAGATTAACCTACACTGAGTTTACCAAACATTAGGAACACCTTCCTAATATCGAGTGCCCTCAGAACAGCCTCAATCTCTACAAGGTGTCGAAAGCGTTCCACAGGGATGCTGGCCCATGTTGCTGGTCCATGCGTCCCACAGTTTAGTCAAATTGTTTGGATGTCCTTTGGGTGGTGGACCTTTCTTGATACACATGGGAAACTGTTGAGCATGAAAATCCCAGCAGCTTTGCAGTTTCTGATACAAACCGGTGCGCCTGGCACCTACTACCATACCCCGTTCAAAGGCAACTACATTTTCTTCACCTTCTGAATGGCACACATACACAATCCATGTCTCAATTGTCTCAAGGCTTAAAAATCCTTCTTTAACCGGTCTCCCCTTCATCTACACTGATTGAAATGGATTTAACAAGTGACATCAATAAGGGACCATAGCTTTCACCTGGATTCACCGGGTCAGTATACGGTATGTCATGGAAAGAGCAGATGTTTTTATTGTTTTGTATACTCAGTGCATAATGCACTCTAAAAAATGCTGGATTAGAACCTACCCAATTTTGGTTATTTGGTAACAGTGCTGGGTAAATATTGGATAGAACACATGCTGGGTTATTTTGACCTAGCCAGTTGGGTTGGTGAATAACCCAACATGTTGGGTTGTTGCGATTACCCAAACATGGGTTCATTTAACCATCAATTGGGTTATATTCACTTTCACGCTGGGTTGACCCAGCAGCTGGGTATTTTATAATGTTATCCATAGGTTATTTTCAGGAGGCGTGGCTTATTAGGGTAGCGGCTTTCAGATAGTTATTTTCACCAACTGTGAGAGTTAATATCATTTTTGTTCATCATTTTAAGTTGGTACACTGCAAATTTCAATTTTCAATAAATATGTTTGCATATGACATATTCTAATATAATATTAATAACACTAGTATTTACATATTGTAAATCTAAGGGTGGTGGTGTTGCTATATACATAAAATACACGTTTTGGGTGACCATTCTGACTTCTGTTACAAAACCCAAGAAATTGGAATATCTGTCCTTGAATATAAATCTCTGGCATCCTTGAATCTTGTTGACTTATGTTGTTATAGACCCCCATCTGCTATTGCTGGCTCTCTTGATTGTATTTTTGTATTTATTATCACAGAATATCAAATCCGAATTTGAGTTTATGGGTGATCTGAACCTAGACTGGTTGACATCCAACTCTGATCAACTCAAGAATCTATGTAATACCTATAATCTTACACAGATTTTTTTATTTAATTGTTTTACTCATCCCAAACCATCTCAATTGGGTTGAGGTCAGGTGATTGTGGAGGCCAGGTCATCTGATGCAGCACTCCATCACTCTCCTTCTTGGTCAAATAGACCTTACACAGCCTGGATGTGTGTTTTGGGTCATTGTTCCGTTGAAAAACAAATGATAGTCCCACTAAGCGCAAACCAGATGGGATGGCGTAAATCACAGACAGTGTCAACAGCAAAGCACCCCGACACCATCACACCTCCTCCTCCATGCTTGACGGTGGAAACCAAACACGCGGAGATCATCCGTTCACCTACTTGGAATCAAAAATATCAAATTTGGACTCATCAGACCAAAGGACAGATTTCCACCGGTCTAATGTCCATTGCTCGTGTTTCTTGGCCCAAGCAAGTCTCTTCTTCTTATGGTGTCCTTTAGTAGTGGTTTCTTTGCAGCAATTCGACCATGAAGGCCTGATTCACGCAGTCTCCTCTGAACAGTTAATGTTGAGATGTGTTTGTTACTTGAACTCTGTGAAGCATTTATTTGGGCTGCATTCTGAGGTGCAGTTGACTCTAATTAACTTATCCTCTGCAGCAGAGGTAACTCTGGGTCTTCCTTTCCTCTGGCGGTCCTCATGAGAGCCAATTTCATCATAGCGCTTGATGGTTTTTGCGACTGCACTTGAAGAAACTTTCAAAGTTCTTGAAATGTTCCATATTGACTGACCTTCATGTCTTAAAGTAATGATGGACTGTCGTTTCTCTTTGCTTATTTGAGCTGTTCTTGCCATTATATGGACTTGGTCTTTTACCAAATAGGGCTATATTCTGTATACCACCCCTACCACAATTGATTGGCTCAAACACATTAAGAAGGAAATTAATTCCACAAATTAACTTTTAACAAGGCACACCTGTTCATTGAAATGGATTCCAGGTGACTACCTCACAAAGCTGGATGAGAGAATGCCAAGAGTGTGCAAAGCTGTCATCAAGGCAAAGGGTGGCTAAACCTATTTGGTTACTACATGATTCCATATGTGTTATTTCATAGTTTTGATGTCTTCACTATTATTCTACAATGTAGAAAATAGTAAAAAATAAAGTAAAACCCTGGAATGAGTAGGTGTGTCCAAACTTTTGACTGGTACTATATATACAGTGGGGAAAAAAAGTATTTAGTCAGCCACCAATTGTGCAAGTTCTCCCACTTAAAAAGATGAGAGAGGCCTGTAATTTTCATCATAGGTACACGTCAACTATGACAGACAAAATGAGAGAAAAAAAATCCAGAAAATCACATTGTAGGATTTTTAATGAATTTATTTGCAAATTATGGTGGAAAATAAGTATTTGGTCAATAACAAAAGTTTCTCAATACTTTGTTATATACCCTTTGTTGGCAATGACACAGGTCAAACGTTTTCTGTAAGTCTTCACAAGGTTTTCACACACTGTTGCTGGTATTTTGGCCCATTCCTCCATGCAGATCTCCTCTAAAGCAGTGATGTTTTGGGGCTGTCGCTGGGCAACACAGACTTTCAACTCCCTCCAAAGATGTTCTATGGGGATGAGATCTGGAGACTGGCTAGGCCACTCCAGGACCTTGAAATGCTTCTTACGAAGCCACTCCTTCGTTGCCCGGGCGGTGTGTTTGGGATCATTGTCATGCTGAAAGACCCAGCCACGTTTCATCTTCAATGCCCTTGCTGATGGAAGGAGGTTTTCACTCAAAATTTCACGATACATGGCCCCATTCATTCTTTCCTTTACACGGATCAGTCGTCCTGGTCCCTTTGCAGAAAAACAGCCCCAAAGCATGATGTTTCCACCCCCATGCTTCACAGTAGGTATAGTGTTCTTTGGATGCAACTCAGCATTCTTTGTCCTCCAAACACGACGAGTTGAGTTTTTACCAAAAAGTTATATTTTGGTTTCATCTGACCATATGACATTCTCCCAATCCTCTTCTGGATCATTCAAATGCACTCTAGCAAACTTCATACATACAGCTGTGGAAAAAATAAAGAGACCACTGCAAAATTATCAGTTTCTCTGGATTCCTATTTATAGGTATGTGTTTGGGTAAAAATTACATTTTTGTTTTATTTTATAATCTACTGACAACATTTCTCCCAAATTCCAAATAAAAATATTGTCATTTAGAGCATTTATTTGCAGAAAATGACAACTGGTCAAAATAACAAAAAAAGATGCAGTGTTGTCAGACCACGAATAATGCAAAGAAAATAAGTTCATGTTCATTTTTAAACAACACAATAGTAATGTTTTTTTTTATAGTTCAGAAATCAATATTTGGTGGAATAACCCTGATTTTCAATCACAGCTTTCATGCGTCTTGGCATGCTCTCCACCAGTCTTTCACATTGATGTTGGGTGACTTTATGCCACTCCTGGCGCAGAAATTCAAGTAGCTCGGCTTTGTTTGATGGCTTGTGACCATCCATCTTCCTCTTGATCACATTCCAGAAGTTTTCAATGGGGTTCAGGTCTGGAGATTGGGCTGGCCATGACAGGGTCTTGATCTGGTGGTCCTCCATCTACACCTTGATTGATCTGGCTGTGTGGCATTGTCCTGCTGGAAAAACCAATCCTCAGAGTTGGGGAACAAGGTCAGAGCAAAAAGAAGCAAATATTCTTCCAGGACAACCTTGTACGTGGCTTGATTCATGTGTCCTTCACAAAGACAAATCTGCCCGATTCCAGCCTTGCTGAAGCACCCCCAGATCATCACCGATCCTTCACCAAATTTCACAGTGGGTGCGAGACACTGTGGCTTGTAGGCCTCTCCAGGTCTCCGTCTAACCATTAGACGACCAGGTGTTGGGCAAAGCTGAAAATTGGACCTCAGCCTGGCTCTTCTTTGCTTCTCATTGATGAAGGGCTTTTTTCTAGCTTTGCACGACTTCAGCCCTGCCCCTAGGAGCCTGTTTCGAACTGTCCTCGCCATGCACTTCACTCCAGCTGCCGTTTGCCATTCTTTTTGTAGGTCACTTGATGTCATCCTACGGTTGTTGAGTGACATTCGAATGAGTTGGCGGTCATCCCGGTCAGTAGAGAGTCGTTTTCACCCTCTACCGGTCTGTAGCTTTGTTGTCCCCAATGTCTGCTGCTTGACCTTGTTCTTATGAACCGCCGTCTTAGACATTTGAAGGATGGAAGCAACCTGACGCTCACTGTATCCCTCTGCCAGTAAAGCCAGAATTGACCCCTTTTTTTCCTCACTCAAAACTTTCCTTTTCAACTCTTTTGGCATGGTCAATAGTTATTTTTTTATTAATATTACTTTTGAGGTACTATTAGCACTGTTTTTGCCATCCAGCTGGTCCTATTGCAAGAGGATAGTGATGACCACAGCAGTGGTTTTTTATACTTTATCTCGTTAAATAAGATTTGGTTCATGTGAACACCTAATCAGTACCTAATTCAGTAGAATGAGGTGTGCCTGTGTTGGAATTCAACATACACTGGAATGGAATGGCTGTCATACATGTAGAGATGCTGATTTAAGAAAAATTTGCAGTGGTCTCTTAATTTTTTCCACAGCTGTATATATATATATATATATATATATATATATAAAATACATGGTATTATCCAATATTAAACACTCTGAAAACCATGTAATTACTACCTTGGAAGGACATTCTATAGAGCAAGTCAAAACGCACAAATATATGGGAGTTTGGTTGGATGAGAAGCTGAGCTTCACCACCCATGTAGCGAAACTACATTATTGGGAAACTCAAGCTGCATTGATTCTTATTACTGGCACAAAGCTTGTTTTTCCTTTGCCGCCAGAAAATTGTTGATTCGTTGCACTTCTCTCTTTCTGTGTTGGACTATGGTGATACTATTTATGTACAAGCCTCAAGCTCTACACTGAAGGCTCTTGACTCTGTGTATCATGAAGCCCTTTGTTTTGTCACCAATCAGAGATGTCTAACTCACCATTGTGATCTCTACAGTGCTGTCGGGTGGACATCACTAGCAACACGCAGGCTCAAACACTGGTACATTCTTATTTATATGGCCATTTTAGGAACACTGCAATTATATCTACAGATATCCTCTCTTCTAGCTCAAAATGAAAACACCTACAACCTCAGCTCTCAATCTCGTTTAATGCTAAGAGTCCCGAAAATTAGAGCCGAGCATGGAATAAGGTCCTTTCATTACTCAGCCCTCGGTTTTTGGACTCCAAAGGATAAACAGATGACAGGTTGTTGAGACGTAGTTGTTTCTAGTTGTCACCCGATGTCAGTAGTTTGCGTTTGCCTTCTTGAAGGAAGCATGTTGATATACTTCACACACCACACACACACACACACACACACACACACACACACACACACACACACACACACACACACATTCCCTGTGTATTTGCTGTTGTATTTGTGCTGTTGCCAGTGTCTTCCGTCTGTGTTGTCCGTTTTGTCTCACATTGTTTTTTGTCTCTTGCCAGGCCATCATTGTAAATAAGAATTTGTTCTTAATTGACTTGCCTGGTTAAATAAAGGTAAATTAAATCAATAAAAATAAAGGTTAAATTAAATAAAAACATTAAGTGGTAAACATCCCAACACTGGAATTTGCATAGGCTTTAAGGAACTCATACAGTTGTGTAAGCCTCATTAAAGCTACAAAACTGTCAGTGTTCAAGCTTAACATGTGATAACAATACAACAGTAGAGATCACCATTTTAGTGTGGTCTGTGTTATTCACTCTTCCGTATTGACAAGCAGACACTGTAGAGGTGCTAAAATTAAGCTAATGATAGACAGTCTCCATTCTGCTCCTTCCTACCTTCTTCTTGGCAGCCCTTCCTCTGCTCTTGGTGAACTTGCTGTTGTTGTCCATGGAGGCAGCTCTACGTCGGGGGGACTTCCCGCTCTTCCCTCCCTCGGGGTTCAGCATCCACCAGGAGCTCTTCCCTGTCCCCTCGTTCTGCACACGAACAAAACGACTGTGGAGGGACAGGTTGTGGCGGATGGAGTTCTGGAGGAGAGAGAGGGGGAGGGAGAGAGTTTTGATTTAACATAATAATAGACATATGTAATAACACCATTCAGGCTTTCTGTGTCTTTAAACGTTTTAGGATATACTGTATATTGTTTAAAGGAATTGCTCAAATAAGGTCTGTCCTCTGATTTCCAATGGTGGTGCAAGTTTGTTTTCCTCCCCAGTATTCTTCCATTACAATATAATATCTAACCTGACCTAATCTCCCCATGAAACAGTTGATGGTGTGATGTGTCAGTGTGTGTTTGAGGGGGCACTTCAACCAGAGACAGCATAAAGTATGCCACAGTCCCAGCTGCTCAATAGGAGCTACATAGAGGAGACATGACCTATTGGGCTTGAAGGGGAAAACTCATTTGCAATATTTTCATATGAGGAGGAGGAGGTGCAGCGTGAAATCAAAATTAACAGACAGACAGACAGACAGACAGACAGTACCCTGCTCTGCGCTGCATGTACACACACACACATCCTCCGTAATGATATTTAGTCTAGCCAGCTTTTTCCACTCACACCCTGAGGAGACCTCTGTTGGCAGAGCCCCCTCTCTGGTGGGGGAGGGAAGGAGGGAGAGAGGGACATGTGGGCAGAAGGGTCAGGATGTGGTGGTATCATTCAAACATTTCTGTAAATATTTGGCATCCTGCACACAACCATACTGTTAATGGTACACAACACATTCTCCAGTGTTAAAAAAATATATATAATTAACACTGACTGTTAAATCAAAACTGAAAGTGTTGAGTCTGTGAACCCATATAGACACCGGAACAGTATTAAATTAACACACTGCTTAGTGTAAACCCTTAGTCAAATATTTCCCAGAGTGCCTTGCCTTTTGAGTAGATTGTAGAGTTAAAATGTAAACTTATCCAATATGTTACTTGGACTTATTGCACCCTTTACTCAACATTTTTACATTTTTAGTCATTTAGCAGACGCTCTTATCCAAAGCGACTGAGTGCATACATTTTATATATTTTATTTTTTTCATACTGGTCCCCCGTGGGAAACGAACCCACAACCCTGGCGTTGCAAACACCATGCTCTACCAACTTAGCTACACGGGACTCTAGCTCTACCCGCATCATCACTCACAGTCCCAGTATGACAAACCATCCCAGGTTGCAGGACAGGGCTCTGTGCAGTGGGCCTTTAATACACTTTAAGTATGGTTTGGGACCTGAGATGGTTTGATACCAAAATCAGTAAAGGATCCCTGTAGCCCTCCACCCTGACTATAACCTTGTTTACAATCTACAAAGATGTGCAGGTCTTTGAGGTGTGTACTCTGAGCCAGAGATGGAGGTGCTAGTGCCAGCCTTGCAGTGTGATTTAAAAAGGAACAAAATAGAGAGGAGTGTTTTCTTCAACATTTCAGTCACAACACACACCACACACACACAACCAATGGTTGTAATCCTCTTCACAATTGCTCTTAATAACACGTTTCCTGTAGGTCTCCACCCTGTTTCACCTGTACAACCCTTTACCGCCCATCTATCAACTCCCCCTCACACACGGGCACGCACACACACACACACATAATCACACACACACACACACACACACACACACATACAAACACACACACCCTAACCACCTTCACCATCAAACAGTGAGAAAAGAGCAGCGAGAGAGAAAGTACAAAGGGAGGGAAATAATGTTTTTTTTTAAAGGTTTTCTTTCGTTTTTAAAGGAGGGCCGGGCTGTGTTACAAAAGACACCCAGGGAAATAGTTTGAAGAGCTCAGTAAATGGAAATAGTTCCCCACCCAAACCATTCCTCTGTCAAGAAAACAGGTATGAAGAATATAACTGACATATAATTTAACTACTGTAGCTGACAGTCAGATAAGTTATAATTCACAACCACATAGCTGTATGTACTGTATAATCTCACCACCCAGAACCAAATCTCGGGGTGCATGTTTTCCAGTCACAAGAGACCCAACTTGGCTAGGCCAGTGGGTTTTGTGAGGCAAGATCTGATTAGCCTGGATCTACTCGAAGGGAGTTTGAGTAACACTTTATCCACATGACTCACTTCTCCTCTGTGTGTGTGTGTGTGTGTGAGTCAAATCAAATCAAAGTTTTGCAGATGTTATCGCAGGTGCAGCGAAATGCTTATATGTCTAGCTCCAACAGTGCAGTAATACCTATCAATACAAAATAAAAATAAACAATACACACATAATCCCCCCCCCCAAAAAAATATATATATTTAAACTCAGCAAAAAAAGAAACGTCCTCTCACTGTCAACTGCGTTTATTTTCAGCAAACTTAACATGTGTAAATAATTGTATGAATATAACAAGATTCAACAACTGAGACATAAACTGAACAAGTTCCACAGACATGTGACTTACAGAAATGGAATAATGTGTCCCTGAACAAAGGGGGGGTCAAAATCAAAAGTAACAGTCAGTATCTGGTGTGGCCACCAGCTGTATTAAGTACTGCAGTGCATATCCTCCTCATGGAGGGTCATGTCAGGATGAGCCTGCAGGAAGGGTACCACATGAGGGAGGCGGATGTCTTCCCTGTAACGCACAGCGTTGAGATTGCCTGCAATGACAACAAGCTCAGTCCGATGATGCTGTGACACACCGCCCCAGACCATGACGGACTCTCCACCTCCAAATCAATCCCGCTCCAGAGTACAGGCCTCGGTGTAATGCTCATTCCTTCGACGATAAACGCGAATCCGACCATCACCCCTGGTGAGACAAAACCGCGACTCGTCAGTGAAGAGCACTTTTTGCCAGTCCTGTCTGGTCAAGCGACGGTGGGTTTGTGCCCATAGGCGACGTTGTTGCCGGTGATGTCTGGTGAGGACCTGCCTTACAACAGGCCTACAAGCCCTCAGTCCAGCCTCTCTCAGCCTATTGCGGACAGTCTGGACACTAATGGAGGGATTGTGCGTTCCTGGTGTAACTCGGGCAGTTGTTGTTGCCATCCTGTACCTGTCCCGCAGGTGTGATGTTCGGATGTACCGATCCTGTGCAGGTGTTGTTACACGTGGTCTGCCACTGCGAGGACAATCAGCTGTCCGTCCTGTTTCCCTGTAGCGCTGTCTTAGGCGTCTCACAGTACGGACAATTTATTTATTGCCCTGGCTACATCTGCAGTCCTCATGCCTCCTTGCAGCATGTCTAAGGCACGTTCACGCAGATGAGCAGGGACCCTGGGCATCTTTCTTTTGGTGTTTTTCAGAGTCAGTAGAAAGGCCTCTTTAGTGTCCTAAGTTTTCATAACTGTGACCTTAATTGCCTACCGTCTGTAAGCTGTTAGTGTCTTAACGACTGTTCCACAGGTGCATGTTCATTAATTGTTATGGTTCATTGAACAAGCATGGGAAACTGTGTTTAAACCTTTTACAATGAAGATCTGTGAAGTTATTTGGATTTTTATATAGTTTATATAGGATGAGCCATGACTATAATACAGTATATACATACAGTGTAAGTGGGTGAAACAGTATGTAAACATTATTAAAGTTACCAGTGTTCAATGACTATATACATAGGGTAGCAGTCTCTAAGGTGCAGGATAGAGTACTGGGTGGTAGCCGGCTAGAACAGTGACTAAGGTTCAGGGCAGGGTACTGGGCGATGGCCAGCGATTGGTAACTGTTTAACAGTCTGATGGCCTGGAGAGAGAAGCTCTCTCTCTCTCAGTCCCAGATTTGATGCACCTGTACTATCTCCGCCTTCTAGATGGTAGTGGGCTGAACAGGCCGTGGCTCGGGTGGCTGAGGTCCTTGATGATCTTCTTGGCCTTCCCGGGTGCTGTAGATGTCCTGGAGGGCAGGCAGTGTGCCCCCGTTGATGCGTTGGGCTGACCGCACCACCCTCTGGAGAGCCCTGCGGTGACGGACGGTGCAATTGCCGTACCAGGCGGTGATACAGCCCGAAAGGATGCTCTAAATGGTGCATCTGTAGAAGTTTGTGAGGGTCTTAGGGGCCAAGCCAAATTTCTTCAGCCTCCTGAGGTTGAATAGGCACTGTTGCCATGCTGTCTGTGTGAAGGGACCATTTCATGTTGTCAGTGATGTGCACACAAGGAGCTTCTGACCATCTCCACTGCGGCCCCATCGATGTGGATAGGGGCATGATCTCTCTGCTGTCTCCTGTAGTACACAATCAGCTCCTTCGTTTTGTTAACGTTGAGGGAGAGGTTATTTTCCTGGCACCACTCCGCCAGGGCTTTCAACTCCTCCCTGTAGGCTGTCTCATCATTGTTGGTAATCAGGCCTACCACTGTTGTGTCGTCAGCAAACTTGATGATTGAGTTGGAGACGTGCATGGCCAAGCAGTCATCGGTGAACAGGGAGTACAGGAGGGGGCTGAACATGGAACCCTGTGTGGCCCCCGTGTTGAGGATCAGCGTGGCGGAGGTGTTGTTGACTACCTTCACAACTTGGGGGCGGCCCGTCAGGAAGTCCAGGACCCAGTTGCACAGGGAGGGGTTCAGACCCAGAGCCCTGAGCTTAGTGATGAGCTTGGAGGGCACTATGGTGTTGAAGGCGGAGCTGTAGTCGATGAACAGCATTCTTACATAGGTATTTCTCTTGTTCAGGTGGGATAGGGTAGCGTGGAGTGCAATGGCGATTGCGTCGTCCGTGGATCTGTTGGGGCGATATGCAAATTCTAGTGGATCTAGGTAAGGATCTCGGGTAAGGTGGAGGTGATATTGTCCTTAACTAGCCACTCAAAGCACTTAATGATGACAGAAGTGAGTGCTACAGGGCAATAGTCATTTAGTTCAGTTACCTCCGCTCTCTTGGGTACAGGAACAATGATGGACATCTTGAAGCAAGTGGGGACAACAGACTGGGATATGAAGAAATGTAATATGTCCGTAGCGGCAGGTAGCCTGGCGGGTAGGGGCATTGGGCCAGTAACCGAAAGGTTGCTGGCTAGAATCCCAGAGCTGACATGATAAAAATAAGTCGTTCTGCCCCTGAGCACGGCAGTTAACCCACTGTTTCCCGGGCGCTGAAGATGTGGATGTCGATTAAAGCAGCCCTTCGCACCTCTATGGTTCAGAGGGGTTGGGTTAAATGCGAAAGACACATTTCAGTTGAATGCATTCAGTTGTACAACTGACTAGTATCCCCCTTTCCCTAAACACTCCAGCCAGCTGGTCTGCACATGCTCTGAGGATGCAGATTGGGATGACGTCTGAGCAGGAAACCTTGCGAGGGTTAACATGATTTACTCTCGTCAGCCACAGAGAACGAGAGCACACAGTCCTCAAGAGCGTCGGTGGCCCGCATTGGCAGCTCAATGTTGTTTTCCTCGAAGCGGGAGAAGAAGATGTTTAGCTCGTCCGGTGTCCGCGACGTGGCTGCTTTTCCCTTTATAATCTGTGATTTTCCTGCCACATACAGTACCAGTCAAAAGTTTGGACACACCTACTGATTCCTTATTTTTCTTTATTTTTACTATTTTCTACATTGTGGAATAATGGTGAAGACATCAAAACTATGAAATAACACATGTGGAATCATGTAGTAACCAAAATATATTTTATATTTGAGATTCTTCAAAGTAGCCACCCTTTGCCTTGATGACAGCTTTGCACACTCTTAGCATTCTCTCAACCAGCTTCATGAGGTAGTCACCTGGAATGCATTTCAATTAACAAGTGTGCCTTGTTATAAGTTAATTTGTGGAATTTCTTTCCTTCTTAACGTGTTTGAGCCAATCAGTTGTGTTGTGACATGGTAGGGGTGGTATACAGAAGGTAGCCCTATTTGGAAAAAGACCAAGTCCATATTATGGCAAGAACAGCTCAAATAAGCAAAGAGAAATGACAGTCCATCATTACTTTAAGACATGAAGGTCAGTCAATACGGAAAATGTCAAGAACTTTGAAAGTGCAGTCACAAAAACCATCAAGCGCTATGATGAAACTGGCTCTCATGAGGACCGCCACAGGAAAGGAAGACCCAGAGTTACCTCTGCTGCAGAGGGTAAGTTAATTAGAGTTAACTGCACCTCAGATTGCAGCCCAAATAAATGCTTCACAGAGTTCAAATAACAGACACATCTCAACATCAACTGTTCAGAGGAGACTATGTGAATCAGGCATTCATGGTTGAATTGCTGCAAAGAAACCACTACTAAAGGACACCAATAACAAGAAGAGACTTGCTTGGGCCAAGAAACACGAGCAATGGACATTAGACCGGAGGAAATCTGTCCTTTGGTCTGGAGTCCAAATGTGAGATTTTTGGTTCCAACCGCTGTGTCTTTGTGAGACGCAGAGTAGGTGAACGGATGATCTCCGCATGTGTGGTTCCCACCATGAAGCATGGAGGAGGAGGTGTGATGGTGCTTTGCTGGTGACACTGTCTGTGATTTATTTAGAATTCAAGGCACGCTTAACCAGCATGGCTACCACAGCATTGTGCAGCAATACGCCTTCCCATCTGGTTTGCGCTTATCATTTGTTTTTCAACAGGACAATGACCCAACACACCTCCAGGCTGTGTAAGGGCTATTTTACCAAGAAGGAGAGTGATGGAGTGCTGCATCAGATGACCTGGCCTCCACAATCACCCGACCTCAACCCAACTGAGATGGTTTGGGATGAGTTGGACCACAGAGTGAAGGAAAAGCAGTGCTCAGCAAGTGCTCAGCATATGTTGGAAACGCATTCCAGGTGAAGCTGGTTGAGAGAATGCCAAGAGTGTGCAAAGCTGTCATCAAGGCAAAGGGTGGCTACTTTGAAGAATCTAAAATCTAAAATATATTTTCATTTGTTTAACACTTTTTTGGTTACTACATGATTCCATATGTGTTATTTCACAGTTTTGACATCTTCACTATTATTCTACAATGTAGAAAATAGTAAAAATAAAGAAAAACCTTGAAAGAGTAGGTGTGTCCAAAGTTTTGACTGATACTGTATGTGTCTGA